GCCAGTCGGCTCTCTGGGGGGGGGGGGGCCCTAGGAGGAGGCCCTCCTTGGGCCATGGTCGGCTCTCTGGGGGGGGGGGTCCATGGGCCAGGCTCTAGGAGTCCATGGGCTCTAGGAGTCTGGGGGGGGGGGAGGCCCTAGGAGGCCAGTCGGCTCTCTGGGGGGGAGCCCATGGGCTAGGCTCTCGGGGGGGAGGCCCTAGGAGGAGGAGGAGGAGGAGGAGGAGGAGGAGGAGGAGGGGGAGAAGGAGGAGGATGGAGGAGATAGGGGGAAGAGGGGGGGAGGAGTGCGAGGAGCTCGGGGATGAAGAGGGAGCACAGCTGGGGCGAGGAGGCGGATGAGGAGGCACACGGAGCAGGAGACGGAACGCGCGTTGGAGAAGGAGGAGGAGGCGGAAGATGAGGATGGGGAGGATGAGGAGGAGGAGGAGGAGGAGAAGGAGGAGGAGGGAGAATGTGAGGAGGGGAGGAAGAGGAGGACGAGGAGGGAAAAAGGAAAGAGAGGAAAGGCGGGGAGGGGAAGAACAATCCCAACCTCGCGAGCGCTGTTGGTGCTCTCCTGGGTGGGGCGCAAGTTCCGGATCGGCGATCCGCGGCAGGACAGCGAGAGCATCGAGATCGAGCTGCGACAACACGCGGTAAGAGCTTCCTCGACTGGGGAAGGGGGGGGGGGGGGAGGAGGAAGGAGGGTGGAGGTAGGGGGCGAAGGAGGGAGGAGGAGAGGGTGAACCTATGAAGAAGCGGGAGAAGTGAGGAGCAGGGAAGGAAGGGGTGGGGAGGAGGAGGGGAGGATGAGGAGGATAAGAGGGGGTGTGGACGAGGGGGTTCTCCGTCCCTTTGAGCTGCTTCTTCCTCCTCCCCCTCCTCTCCCTCCCTCCCCCTCCCCTCCAACCCCCCTCCTGGGAGCGTCGTCGATCCTTCCTCCCCCTTATCCTCGCCGTGAGCGTGGCCTCAAGAGGCGTCGTCTGCATCGATATCACCATCTGGCATTGGAGGAGCAGGTTCCACTTCATGGCTCGTGGTGTCAAGAGACATGGCATCAGAGGGGATCGAAAACGTGCCGCTGGGCCACGACACAGGGGCATCGTTTGCACGCGGATCCACGGGACCGACCCAGGGCGGTATCCAACCTGGGGGGAACACGGCTTCGACCCAGCGGCCTACATGTAAACCGAACGCTGCCATAATGCAGAGATCCCGAGCCGAGATATCACACGCCCCCATGGAGCCCGACCCCTGCAATGATTGAGGAGGAGGGGGCGGCTGTTGTTTTCACAGCGCGGCTCGACCAGCACAGAAACATCTTCACGGCGATCTAATCGCGACATGCCCGATGGTTTACCGAAACGATTTGTTGGCAGGCCCCGAGGTGGATCTGGGACCTTGAAAAACGTCCGCCTGGATTAATCAATCTACTCATCGCTGGTATACAGCTGGCGATGCTCCTGGGTCTGCGTCCTCAGGTGACGGATCACGGCGACAGGGAGGTCCTGGGGCTCGTCGACGGGGGTGGAGGAGGAGGAGGATCAGGAGGAGGATCAGGAGGAGCATCTGAGCTCCAGAGGGAGCAGCGAGGGGAGGAGAACGAGGGGGAGGAGGAGGAGGAGGATGTTTAGGAGGAGTGGCCGGGTAGGAGGAGGAGGAGGAGGAGAGAGGCAGGAAGCAGGGAGGGGGGAGGAGGAATGCCATGGGAGAGGAGGAGGGGGCAGGAGGAGGAGGAGGAGGAGGAGGAGGAGGGGGACTGCAGTTTAATGTGACAGTCCTTCACGCGCCCCTTCGGCAAATCTGTCACGTGCATCTCCAAGCACTGCGTAATCTCCTCCACCTTGTCCTGCGTGCGAGCGACGGGATGGAGGCAGGTAGAAACGAGGGGGGAAGCGTGACATTCTAGGAAGGCTAGCACGTTCGAAGAGGATTCTTGACACGTTTGAGGGGGAAATGGTTTGGGAAGGCGACTGTTATAACATAGGGTCCTGGATGCCGTTAGCAAACGCACCAGTTGGATTGACCTGTAGGATCTGGCACTTGTCCTTGCCTGAAGTCACCAGGAAGATGCACAAGGCCCCATTGTGGCCGTTGGCGATTTTCAAGACGGGGGTGGGGCCATCCGGTTCAGGGCCGTCATCGCCCTCCTGGGCTTCTTCGGGCTCTTGTGACTCTTCTACGGGATCTTCTGCGGGCTCCTGCTCCTCATCGGGCCATTCCTCTGCGGGCTCCGAGTTCTCGAACTCATCTGGGCATTCCTCTGCGGCCTCGGAGTTCTCGAATTCATCGTCGGGATCCAGGGCCGCCTCCACGGGATCTGGCTTCTTGACAAGTTTGGGGGCCGCTGCAGCAGGTCGCTTGAGTGCAGGGGCTGCAGGTGCAGCTGCTGCTGGGCGCTTGCAAGCTGCTGGGCGTTTCATGGGCTGTCGTGCTTTGCTCACTGGCACACACAACTTCCGTACCGTACCATCTGGATTCAGCAAATCGTTGGAAATATCGAGCTCCACTTTTACCCCATCCGAGTGTTCGGCCACAACGCAGCCTCTCTCTCCTCGGGCGAGCGTCGCGTGGGTCAACGTGCCGTTCGCCCATAAGGTGGTCGCCTGAGCTAATTTGACGATGGTATTCGAATGAGGTGGAGGAGGAGGAGGAGGAGGAGGAGGAGGAGGAGGAGGAGACGGAGGAGAATGAGGAGGAGGAGGAGGATCGAAGAAGAGTTGGCCTTCATGCCGTCAAACCAGCGCGCCACCACGATCGCTTCGTCGGGGTCGGCGGCGGTCTCGGCCTCGGCCTCCTCGGCCGCGGGGGTGTCCTCAACCTCAGCAGCAGCTGGCACAGGATCACGGAACGCGGCGAATGGGTTCGGCTTCTCAGGCCTCGCTTGATCAGCGTAAAGCTTGAACGCGTTCCATCAAGTGCAACCTCTCCTCATCACAGCTCCATCATTTCTCAAGGAATGATGGAGTGGCGTGAGCGAGATTGCCCTAATTAATGGAGGCGAGGGAGGGGGTTTATTGCTAGCCCACCGTCTTACTTCTCCTGCACATTCTCTCTCATTCTCCCCCTCCTCTTCCTCCTCTTCCTCCTCTTCCTCCCCCTCGTCCTCGTCCTCCTCCTCCTCCTCCTCCTCCTCCTCCTCCTCCTCCTCCTCCTCCTCCCCCTCCTTCTCCTCATACTAGGACCTCCTCCTCCTCCTCCTCCTCCTCTCCATCCTCCTCCTCTTTGTTCCCTCGCGATTGCCTCTGGTTCCGCCTGCCCGCGCCCCCGTGGTCCGAGATGGGGCTGCCCAGGGGGGACTTGCCTGCGTGGTGCCTGTGGATCACCTGTGGCGGGGAGCACTTAATTCGAACGGATGCGAACCCCGAGGATGAGGAGGAGGAGGAGGAGGAGGAGAAGGAGGAGGAGAGACCTCCGTAGCCCCGAGGGGGAGGAGGAGGAGGAGGAGGAGGAGGAGGAGGAGGAGGAGGAGGAGGAGGAGGAGGCGGATGAGGAGGAGGAGGAGAAGGAGGATGCCGACGGAGGAGGAGAGGAGGAGAAGGAGGCCGAACAGCAGGAGGAAGGACGAGGAGCAGGAAGAGGAAGACAACACGGCAGGTCGCCGTAAAGATGTCGGCCAGTTCGTCTGGGATCGCGCACTCCGCGCCCCTGCCAGCTGACGCCTGGAGGCGGAACAGGAGCAGGAAGAGGACGATGGACGACATGGGGTGGAATAGGAGGAGGGAGACGGGGACAAATGCGACATTCGCGGCCTGCGTGATGTCGTATTTGATCCGCACGTGGGAGCACATCACCCTGAAGCTGTAGCTGATTCTCTCCACCGCCTCCGACTCCGAGAAGTTCCCCATAAACGCGAACTTCTGAAGGGCATGCTTCATCTCGGGGTTCTCAGGCAGGAGCGCAAAAAACACTAATCGAGGTCGGAGTTCTAGAAAATCAAACGCCCCCAAACCTACGAAAATCCAGAGTCGGACGATCCCCTTGGAGTTTCGTTCCCCCCCCCCTCCTCCTCATCCTCATCCTCCTCCTCTCCCTACCTCCCCCTCCCTCTCTTCCTCCTCCTCTTCCTCCTCCTCCCTCCTCCTCCTTTTCCTCCTCCTCCTCCTCCTCCTCCTCCACTCCCTCCTCTCGCTCTCCCTACCTCCTCCTCCTCCTCCTCCTCCTCCTCCTCCTCCTGCTCGTTTCTCCTGTTCCTTCTCCTCCCCCTCGCCATTCCTTTTCCATCTTAGAGGCCGGTGTCCTGCAACACCTTCGCGCAGCCCGCGCGGACGTCGTCCTGCGTGAAATAGGCCCCGCGAGGGTCTACCTCGAAGAGCGCCTTGAGCGCGGGGGCCGCCTGCACCAAGTAGTCCTTGAGGAGGGGGGGGGGGGAGGGCGGGAAGGATGAGGAATATCCGAGGAAGAGGTGGAGAAGGAAAGGAGAGGAGAAGTAGGTGGAGCGAGGATGAGGAGGAAGAATGGGAGGGGGAGGAGGAGGAGGAGGAGGGGGAGGAGGAGGAGGAGGAGGAGGAGGGGTAGATTTCCAAACGAAATCCTGGTCAATGCCAGTTTTCATGTCGTTGCTGGGGTAGAGCTTCGTGCTGATGATGTGGGGAAGGGCTAACTGCACGCATGGCCCCAAAACTTCAGCTGCCGAGGACTCGGGCGCGTCCTCGGCGGTCCAACACTTCACGCGCACCATATGTAATGCTTGGGCCTGCGTGGCTCGGGTGCAACAGCGCATCCCCCCACCCCTTATATATCCGCCGAATCCTGTGGATCCACCAGGCTATGTGAGTTCCCCATAATACCTCAATCCGCCCAAACCTATATATCATCTAGGCGCGCGCACCATATATACACACTCGCACACATTGACAACATATACACTTGACATGCAATAGCTCTAATATTGTGTACATAGTATAACATGCATGTTCTGAATTATTCATTTGGAAATGAATTAATTCATTTCAAAATGAATTATTTCATTTATTTCTTGTTATTCTTATTATATGATAAACTTCTTTTTTTATGACATATTGACACGTCGTACATCTACTCTTCTTTTTTTTTTTTTCGTTTTCTTCTTTCTAACGATCAGTTCCTTCTTTTTATTCTGTTCGGATGCTCTGGGTGTGCATGGCCTCGCAGGCGCTCGCGAAGCTCGGCCCGCCGGCAAAGGCCGCGCTGCGCGCGGCGGCCGGGGAGGCCTTCAGCAGGCAGCTGCACGGGTTCTCGACTGCGGACAAGGCGCTGCTCATGTGGTCGCTGGCGAAGTCCCGGGTCGCGCACCCGGCCCTGTGCCGGCTCCTCGTCCAGAGCCTGGCCGCGGACTGCGTCTCGAGGCTGCAGCGGGACATCGTCAGCGCCACGCTGTGGGCCGCGGGCGTCATCTGCCCCGCGCTCCCGGCGGGCGAGGAGTGGGCGGCGAAGCTGGTGCAGGACCTCTGCGAGGCGCGGCCCTGGGCGGGCGCCTCGCCGTTCGAGGTGGCCAACGCCGCCTGGGCCTTCGGGCAGCTGCCGCCGGAGTGGGTGGGCGAGTCCTGGCCTGCGCTGCTGGCCTCGGCGGAGAGGCTCTCGCCCGGAGCCCTCGCCCTGCACGAGCTCTGCAACTTCCTGAGCGGCCTGGGCCTGTGCCCCACGAGCGCCCGGGGCTCGCAGCAGCTGCTGGAGCAGGTCCTCTGCGAGGTGGTGGCCCGAGCCCGGAGCGGCGCGCGCATCTCGATGCACGACAAGCGCTCCCTGAAGCACATGCTCTCCATCCTCAGCGCGGAGGAGGGCTGGCCCAGGCTGCCCGAGCTCGAGGAACTGGGTAGATTCGTCAGCGGCGAGCCCGAGGCAACCGGCAGACGCGTCGCTCCAGCGAACGCGTCCGCCGCGTGGATGGCGGCGCCCGGCATCATTGTCGCGCCCGGCAGCTGGCAGGAGCCCGGCCTGGCCCCCGCCGATCAGGCCGCCGGCTTCACGAGGCAGCCAGGGAGCACCGCCGCGCGCTGCTCGCCGCGAGGGGCTGGCGGCGCCAGCGCGGCCCAGTCCGACGGCTCAGGCTGCCAAGGTCCCGACGGCGGGCATGCCGAGGCGCATCCCCCGAGGGCGCGGCCGAAGGCGTTGAGCTTCACTTTCAAGGACGTGCACGACGCCGACATCGGGTCGCCGGACTTGACCCCCAGGCACCCGGGGCTGAGCAGCACGGGAGGCCTCGCCACGGACGTGGGCGACATCTCCCACAGCAGGGCGGCGTTCTTCCGGTGCGTGGCGGCGTCCACGACGGGCCATTGGAGCGCAGACGCGCCGGGCAGCGGCGAGACGGAGCCCGACGCGCGCCGGGACGCCTCGGGGCACTGCGTGCAGCTGCGCAACACCTTCATCCACGTCGAGTGCTCCGCCAACGACGAGGAGGACTCTGCCAGCCGCGGCGCCCGCCAGCGCGCCCGGTCCGTGGACACCAGCCTGCTCAGGGCCGCCGCCTCTCCGCGCCGCTCGCCGCGCCGCTCGCCCGCGCTGCGGCCGCTGGCCGACCCCGGGGGCACGCGCTCGGCCGGCAACTCGCCCGCTCGCTCGCCGGCGCCGCTGCCGCCGAGGAAGGGCGGCAGCCGCGGGAGCGCCGGCAGCGGCGGCAGCGGCAGCGGCACGAGCCGCGGCTCTGCCGGAGCGCTGGCGTTCCAGTGAGGTCAGGGCCACAGGAGCCAAGGCTTCCCGAGGAAGCGAAAGCGGCATTCCATTTCGGTAGCAAATCATGGGAGCCTGGTTCTCAATTCCGTCACGAGCTTCGATTTAGCGTCTCGTCTGGGAGTGGATGAGATAGCGCCGATTCAGCGTCGATTAGCGTCAATTGAGCGTCGACTGGCGTCGATATAGCGCCGATTCGCAAGAGCCGGCAGAAGGGTATGGGAGGCTCCCAGGGGTTGCCACCGAATTCAATCACAAACCTTCCGAACTCCGCTCGGAGTTCCTGGCTCGGCGATGGGCGTCCCGCCCCTGGCGCGCTCCGCGCGCCAGAGGAGGGGCCCAGCGTCGCTCCGCGAGGTCCGCGCGGAGCTCCGAGACATTGTGTGGGTGCTGTCTGCTGGACTTTGCCGACTCGGCCTCTGCGGGACACGGCCGGGGAGAACGAAGAGTGACGAGTCGAGAGTGTCTCGTCCCGCGGTTGCAGCTCTCTTGGGTCCCTTGGGTGTGCCAACGCTCTTGTTTACCAAAGGCCTGCTGTTACGTGGCCTCGGTGAGGCGTCTGTTTCTCCTACCCTTCTCCTGCTCCTCCTCCGCCTTCCTCCACTTTAGATCCGCTACCCTTCGTGAGCGAAGCAGCAAGAGGTCACGGAAAGCTTTAGGAGGTGTTCTGTTTTGCATTGTGAAAGTGGGGCTTGCGTAATGTTCTTGTGTGATCTGTGTTCTAGGTGCTTGTCAGGAAAGAGACTCCTGCAGGGCCTCGCGACTTCAGAACAGTAGGTTCGCGAGAGGAGGTTTATTTTCAAGCGTAAGTCGGCAATCTGAAAGGGGGGGGTGCAAGGGATGGAGGAGGGATGGAGGAGGAGAAGGACGAGGGTGAGGAAAGGCGGCGGGGGGGGGTACGCTTGTGCATATCTCGGCGGCCGCTTGCGTTCACCTTTCGTGCCGACGACGTCAGCCAGCCTCAAGAGGTGCGATTGCGGCGGCGGCATGCATGCGGGTCGAACAGTCAGCACTCAGGTGCTCTGCGAATGCCTTGCGGCACCTTTGGTCACGTGATGAGCAGCCAGAGGGGCGGGTGATTGTTTTCTTTTTTATTCAAATAGATGGTGTGTCCCTGGCAGGAGACCAGACTCCAGGCAAACCGGCAAATCTCTGTGCGAACGCATCGGGACAGCTTGCGCTACTGCCAGCTCCGATCTCGTGCCCGATGCTGTCGTTGAGGCCGGCGGTTCGCTCTTGTTCCCGCGGAGCTGCGTAGGGCTACTGCCTCCCGAGGGGTGAGTACCGAGGTGGGTATTCCACAGTGAGTACAGATTCCACCTTCGAGGTAATTATCACGTTCCAACGCTACCAACGCGTTGCTGCTTCATTAATCTGCGACCCCCTCCCCATGGTCACTCTGGAGCGCGGGTGCAGCCACATCGCTGCAATATGCCTCCGCTATACGAATTAGCAACACCTTGCCACAGCAGTCATTCGATGCCAAGCAAAGTTGTCTAATTTTTGCACGCGCGCGCATGCAGATGACAGGCTCGTGCCAGCGCGCGCTCTCTGTGTACAGGCAGCCTGGCTTGTCTTGGTCCTGGTCACGCGGCTTCTGCCCATGTGTCTGGAGCTACTCACAGTGCCAGTCCGACCATCGATGCCATCGTAGTCCTTCCCCACCGCTGTCGCTGTCGGGCGGGAGGGGTTTGTACCTGCAGATCCAGGCAACGCGGAACAGACGCGACGACCGTTTTTTGGCGACCGTTTTTTATTATTTGTTTTGCCGATCGGCGCGGGCCCTCGCCCGCCCTCCCCCCCCCCTTTGAGTGGATCTTGGCTGTTTTGGGCGCCTGTTTCGAGCAGGTGGAGCCTCCCCCATAATGGACGCACTGCTGCAAACAGTCGCACAAAGCAGAGGTCCAGAGCCCTTCCCCCCCTTCCTCCCGATGTCGAAACGCCGAAAAAAAAAAAAAAAAAAAAAAAAAAAAAAAAAAAAAAAAAAAAAAAAAAAAAAAAACACGCTCACTCGTCTCCACGTCTTCGGCGTGGCCGCGTCTTCCCAGACCCTCGAGAGCGACTCGGGGTGAAGAGCCAGCCCTTGATGGGGCGGGCGTCGAGATCACCAGCCGGGCCGGCCGCCGGCCCCCTGGTGATCTCGACGCCGTCCCGGTGGGCTGTCTCTTCGCCTTGAGCCGCCCTCGACGAAGGGGTGGGGGGCAGAGGTCAGCCACGCGCCGAGGGGGGTGGGGGGGGGTAAGAAGGCGCGGGCCTTGCCTATGGATGTAAGGCTGGCGCCTCCCAGGAAGCAGCCTTCTCCTAAGAAGCCCCCCCCGGCCCGTCCCTCCACCCCCCTGTGCGCGCCGCCGAAGAGGAAGCTGGGGGAGTAGAAGGAGGAGGAGGAGGAGGAGGAGGAGGAGGAGGAGGAGGAGGAGGGGGAGGGGGAGGAGGAGGAGGAGGAGGAAGAGGAGGAGGAGGAGGAGGAGGAGGAGGAGGAGGAGGAGAAGGAGGAGGAGGAGGAGGAGGAGGAGGAGGATGAGGACTTCCAGGCCGGGGGGCCCAGGCGACCCGCCATCGAGCTCCCGTCCTCCCCCTTCTATGCCCCCCGCCCGAGCCCGCCCCACGGGCGATGTGACTGGCCGGATGCCGGGCGTGCCAGGCCAGGCTGGCCAGCTTTCTGACGTGCTGGAAAGAGGTAGAAGGGTGCGCGGTGGGTGCGTGTGGGAGCAGGCATGCAAGCAGGGAGGGGAAGAGGTGAGCCCAGCCCCCCCCCCCCTCACCCCCCTCCCGCTCTTTTCGACTCCTTGGGGGGGGCAGGGGGCGCTCCCCTCGCCGCGGCTGCCGGTGCAGCACCGAGTTCGAGGCTGAGGGGCTCCACCCGCCCCCTGCCCGCTCGGCCCCCCCCCCCCCCTCCGAGGCTGGACCGCAGCTTCCTCGCATACTTCGCCGTGGAGCTCGCGCTCCGCGCGGGTCTCCACCAGGACAGAAAGGGGCGGGGAGGGAGGAGGGGGAGGGGAAGCGAGGGGGAGGAGGAGGGGGATCAGCACAAACCCAAGACTCATGAACGATGTTGAAATAGAGCCTCCATCGAAGCTCCCCCTCTCATCTGCCCCATACAAGGATTAATTTCCATTGAGGGCCGTTTGAAGACCCTACAGCGTGCCGAAACACAATTCTCATAATGTCAACGCCACTCGCCAACCTCACTGTTGCGTCTTGACGATCCCGAGTCGTGCCAGAACATGTTTCCTAGGACCCAACACCGCGAATCAAGGTAACTGTTGCTCCCTGACAATCCCGCACCGTTCCAAAAGAATCCATGAAACCCCTGCGAAGTTTCAAAACAAATGCGCCCGGCGCTAAGGCGATCGCCACATGATGAAAACTTAGCCACCCTCAATCCAGAAAGCTCTTCCACATGTTTGAAACGAATGTGCGCGGCGCTGAGGCGAGAGCTACACAATGAAAACGAACCGCCCTCAATCCACGAAATTCTGGCAACTTGTTCAAACGAGTGTGCCCGGCGCTAGGACGAGAGCCACGTTCTGAAAACCACCCGCCCTCAATCCGTGAAATGATTGGCAAATGTTTGAAACGAATGTGCGCGGCGCTTCGGCGAAAGCCACATGCTGAACACCACCAGTCCTCAATATGTGAAATTGTTGCCAGCTTTGAAGCCTCAGGCTCATACGCGGTGAGGAAGTCTCAGGCGAATCGCCCAGCCCGCCCTTGGGACTGCCCCCATGGTGCGACAGGGAGGCGTTGTTCGTAAGGAACAGGAATGGAGAGGGGGGGGAGGAGAAGGAGGAGATGGAGGAGGAGAATGGAGAGGAAAAGGGGACCACTGGTCGCCGGACCACCGATGGTGCGTGGGTCCACCGGGATGGCGGGTCGCCCGCCCCACGAAGCTCCGCCGTGCCCGAAAGGCCTCGGGGCCGCATCGCCAGGGCGCCGGGCAGCGGTGTGGCCTCAACCCTGGCCAAGCCAGGGCAGACGCGACGGGCCCCCCCTTGGAAGGAAAAGCTCATCCTCCTCCTCCTCCTCCTCCTCCTCCTCCTCCTCCTCCTCCTCCTCCTCCTCCCGCCCGTATTCCTCCCCTTTCCTCCCCCTCGCCCTCCTCGTCCTCCTCGTCCTCTTCCTCCTCGTCCTCCTCCTCCTCCTCCTCCTCGTCCTCGTCCTCCTCCTCCTCCCCCTCCTTCTCGCCCCGAGGGTGGGGGCCTGGCACCTGTTCTCATGGTGTCAGCGCCACACACTCCTCGGGGCACACTGTCAGTGTCAATTGCATGCGGCGGCTGGGGCAGATAAGCCGGCTTTCGTCGTTCTTGCACCAGCCACGTGGCACTTTGCCCGTGGCAGCGGCGCGTTAGTTGCGCCCGTGACCTGGAGATGGGTACCAGGCACGGGGAGTGTGCATTTGGTTGAGAGGCGGGGCCATGTGGTCCGTAAGTCCCTTGGGACCTTGTGTCCGCTCACCTTGGGGTACAAACCCAGTTGCACATGCCATCCGATTCGGCAGGGGTGACGGTCGGGAAATACTGCGCGGTGACGCGGTGAACCGGCTGTCCCCCTACGCACCACGCCGTCTCGGTTGGGCAGCGAGTCGCTGAGCGACGAGGTATCTGCCCTTCCCCTCTCCGTCGGTGCTGGCGCCTGCAGGCCACTTCCTCCTGTCTGGGAGGCCGAGGGTGACGGTTGAGCCTCGCTCGCCGTTCATTTTTTGGCTTTATGACACTCATGACACTCCCCCCCCTCCTGAGAGCGGGGGGGCAGGGGCTTCCGGTATGGGCCCGTCAAGACAGCCACGCAGGCAGGCGGCATTCGTGACACGCGGCCGGTCGGCCAGGCAGACTTCCAGGACTGTTAGGAGTGCTTGGGCGTACGGCACGCACGCGCGAGCTCGCACGGGCGTGCGAGTCCCATGGGCATGCAGCACGCCTCGGCGCTAGTGCGCGAGGATCTGGGTTTTCGCCTTTCCAGGGGTTGCGTTGTAATGTTCACCCTCCCCAAAGTCATGTTCGATGCAGAACTTTGTGCCCTCCCCCCTGGTTTCGAGAAGGCCCTGAATAGGGCGCAGGAGCCGATTGCGCGGAAGCTGCTCGGGATCTCGGGCAGTCGTCTGTCACGAGATGGGTTGGGCGGCGCAGTGGTGTACTCAGTACCGCGCGCGTGCCGCCATGTTGTGACACGGACAGCCGTTACAGTGAGGCTGCGCGGGTGTGCGCAATTGCGGCCCGCCACGCGTGGACCTCTTGGGTAATCATTGGCTAGGTGGGCACGGGACCGAGGCGCTCGGCAAAGCAGCCCCTTCTCTGGGCGGCGCCGCCCGCTCGGCTAGGAAGCGGTGGGTGTCCGCCTACGGCACGAGGCTTGTCCACCCAGCCACCGCGGCAGAGGGTGAAGCATGGCGGCTACAGGAGCCGCAGCGGGGCTGCCTCCAGGCACACAGACACCGAGGTGGCGGGCAGGCGACCAGGGCCGAGGCAGGCGCGTTGGACCGGTCGGCGAGGGCTTGGGCTGCCCATCCGGGTTCCAGCGCAGCCTCCGCGGCGCACACCCTTCAGGCTTCTGCGGGGCCGAAGAGGAGACAGCGCCGCACGTCAGCCAGGCGCTGCCGGCAGGCTGCTCCGCGGGCGGCCGTCTCTGCGTCCGCCTGGCGAGCCCGGCCCTGTCGCCCGCGCGCGGCGGAGGGCCCGCGCGGACTTCTGGGGCCTGCGAAGGATCGATCCGGCTCCTCGCCGCTCGTCGCCGTCGTCGTCGTCGTCGTTGTCGTCGTCTTCGTCGTCGTCGTCGTCGTCGACCTCGTCTTAGTCGTCGTCTTAGTCGTCGGGGGCCCCGAGGGATCGATCCGGCTCCTCGCAGCGCCCCTGTACTGGTTCCGGGCCTGGTCTTTCGGCCGCCTCGGGAGGGCTGTGCGGTCTTTGCCTCGGCCTCGGGAGCGCCGCAGATGGTCTGTGCCGCGGGTGGCTAGGGGCGCAAGGGAGGGGGCCATTCGTCGTCGTCGTCGTCGCCGTCGTCGTCCTTCGTCGTCGTCCTTCGTCGTCGTCGTCGTCGTCTTAGTCGTCGTCTTAGTCGTCGTCTTAGTCGTCATTGTAGCCGTCGTCTTAGTCATCGTCTTAGTCGTCGTCTAAGTCGTCCGTCGTCGTCGTCGTCGTCGTCGTCGTCTTAGTTGTCGTCTTAGTCGTCCGTCGTCGTCGACGTCGTCGTCGTCGTCGTCGTCTTAGTCGTCCGTCGCCGTCGTCGTCGTCGTCGTCGTCGTCGTCCGTCGTCCGTCGTCCGTCGTCCGTCGTCCGTCGTCGTCCGTCGTCGTCGTCGTCGTCGTCGTCGTCGTCGTCGTCGTCGTCGTCGTCGTCGTCGTCGTCGTCGTCGTCGTCGTCGTCTTCGTTGTCGTCTCTGTCGTTGTCGTCCGGCGTCGCTGCCGTCTTAGTGCCGTCGTCGTCGTCGCTGTCGGCGCCGCTGCTGCCGCCCGCTGCTGGCGTCGCGGCTGCCGCGACTGGGGGAGTGTCCACCGATTGCTTCCCTCTGCCGTAGTGCGGGGGGGCCGCGCTCTGCAAGCCAGGCCCTACGACCCTGGGAGGCATCGGCGGCGGGCGGAGCCCAGCGTGGCGGGCCTGCGCGGGCCCCTTCGGCCCCCGCCCCCCCGGGGGCGCGCCCCTGGACCGGGCGAGGCAGCACACGGAGCGAGGGAGCACACGGAGCGCCATCCCCTGCCGGCAGGCGCCCGCCCCGTCAGGTGCGGCCCGGCCTCGGCGGCGCCCACGCAGGAGCGCCAGCGTGTTCCTTCAAGGCAGGGAGTGGGTTCGGCGTGCCGTGCTGAGCGCCATCCCCTGCCAGCAGGCGGCCGCCCCGCCAGGTGCGCCGCAGCCTCGGTGGCGCCCACGAAGGAGCGCGAGCGTGTTCCTTCATGGCAGGGAGTAGGTGTGGCATGCCGCTGTGCACGCGGCTGCCTCGGCCGGGAGAGGGTCCCGCTGCGGCCGCGCCGGCGCGGCCGCGGCCGTACCGGACCGTTCCAAATCGTCGAAGAGAAGGAGATAGGGGGAGGAGGTGGAGGAGCTCGACGAGGGGGAGGAGACGGAGGAGGAGGAGGACGACGAGGAGGATGAGGAGGGCAGGCGCTACGGTCCCACTCGATATAAGTTTGCCGAGCGTTACAGAGCGAAGACGAGGAGGAGGAGGAGGAGGAGGAGGAGGAGGCAAAGGTGGATGAGGAGGATGGGGAGAAGGAGGGATGATGAAGAGGAGAAGAAGGGGGAGGGGGAGGCTCGAGGAGGCATGGAAGGAGTGAGCGAATGATGATGAACGAAGACGGTGAAGGAGCAGAGGGAGAGAGGGAGGAATTAATCACGATAAGTTGATTTAGGAGGAGGAAGGGAGGAGGAGGAGGCGGAGGAGGGCAGCTCATCCTCATCCCGCTCCCGCCCCTCTGCGTACGTACTCCTGCTCTGTCTGTGCCAGTCTCCATGGGGACGGAAAATCGAAGGAGGAAGTAGGAAGGGAGGAGGAGGAGGAGGAGGAGGAGGAGGAGGAGGAGGCGCCTGTTGCGCTGCCCGACTTTCGGGGGGGTCGGCAGTCACCAGCGCAACTTCTTCCTCCTCCTCCGCCGCCTCCGCCTCCTCCTCCTCTTCCTCCTTCTGCTCCTCCCCCTAATCCGCCTCCTCCTAATCCGCCTCCTCCTCCTCCGCCTCCTCCTTCTCCTCATCCTCCTCCTCCGCCTCCTCCTCGGGGGACCGATTTCTTTGAACTCGGCAGGTGGTGGATAACGACATCTATATATATATACATATATATATATATAGATGCACTTATGTGTATTTATAATTATAGATATAGTCGAGCCCCCTGTGGGTTGAACATGTGCATATCCGCCGCCCCCTGGGGTCCCAGGACATCGGTTCCCCAGGCCGTGGATTCGGACAGATGTCCTCCTCGGCGGCGAGCGAGGGTAGGAAGTGAGAAGGAGAAGGCTGAGACCCAAGTTTTGAGCAGAAGGCCAGA